GGAAAATACAAAAGTTCAAAAATAAAATCTCATTTATTTCTTTGAAGGAACCTATTGTGAGATACAATGATTAATCATTTCTGCGCCGTCAACTGAGAGTGGCGTAAAATGGCCGACCCCGTTCTCGTGACGTATTGGCTGCAACTGTTTAGACCCCCGTGGCACTCTGCTTTCTCTCTCTGCCTGTTCGGTGACAAGGGAAATCAATTGGTAACTAGCTCCCATGTCCATACGATCCTTATAGCCTCACAGAGTTATGGAAGGGCACCTGTCCCCACAGATCAGTCCATAAATATCTGCCGGTTAAAAATGGATGATTGATTTGATCTACTCGAAATAATTTCGGAAGTAAATCTCGAAATTTCAGACAATAAATAAACAGAATACCAAAATTTTACTGAATGTAACGAATTTTAACGCAAGAGACATGTAGACGGTTTAGCCAAGACTGGTGACAAGGCATAATTCAGTTACAGAACTACCAGACAGTATGGCACATCAGTAACCAGGGGCCATGGATGGACAGTGCTGCGTATAATACACCGACAGTACACTACACACCACAGGTAACAATAGAATAAGTACGTTCTTGGTTGTTGTTTTTTTATGTTTAACGTTAAAGGTATATGAAGAACGCTTGGTGCGGATATGTTCTATAATTATATGTTGACTGTCATCATGGATGCATTTTGCCCTACATGTTCTTCCTATAGCCTTCGTACATGAGGATATCACAGCCACGAAAAAGGCTACATTTCCATTGAAAACTGAAATAACATCTTTGCTTCAGTTTGGAAAAAGATTAAATATTCTTCTCGAATTAAAGTCGCTGCAAATATCGGTCCAGTCATGGCAGAAGTAATGAAGAAGAGAAGAAGAAAAGTGCTTTTCGTAATGACCCCCCTCCCCCCCCATCTCATCACATCACATTCATTCAACCCCTATCCACCCCCCTAACCCCCCCCCCCCCCCCCCCCCCCCCCCCCCATTCACTTTCTGGGTTATTTCGACACATTGTGATCGAGGTGCCAAGCTGCATGCGTCGTTACGTGCGTGATTAGGCCTCCATAGAAGCCTCTGAAGTCCCGGCCATTGCATTGGGCCATAAGCCTGTATAACATATTGACTGTCTTTGGAGTGTTGGATTTTTTTATTAATAAAATCATTGTTATACATACTAATTTAACATCTTAGTACGTGGAAGACTAGTGTCAACATTCAAACCTTGTCCCGCATGCCGGGATGTGACTTCTCTTCACCAGCAATTCCTGTGCTTTCCGGATTGGTCGCATGGTTAAGTCTATCACTCCTTGATAACGAGAAATCGCTAAAACAACACACCAAGCAAACCGTCTTAAATCTTAAACATTTCGCAAGTTTTATAATCGTTAATGATAAAGAAATGAGATCTCTAATTTCTTGAAGTATTCTGATTCTGAAGCCAAGTGTCCTTTGCCATTTCTTTTACTTCCAACACGCCTCCTATAGAACAGGGCGGTGGGAATATCTAAAAGATTATAAAAAGTATGTTGGAACTGGAGAGAACTTTTGCTGCTTGTAAATCGGCAGCGGTGATGAGTTATGAGCGCCCTGAAGCGACGTTTGAACTCGTCAAATATTTCTTCAAACCGCTGTTTCTTAAAGAAGCGGACACAAATCCACAAATCTTTAGAAATGATAGGAATTTAAAGAGTGTGAATTGATCGGCGTATCCGGGCTTGGTTGGAACTAACACACACACGCCTTGACATAAGAGCAGAGGTTCGGTCTGTCACAAATGCTTTGTTGTTGGTCTTACTGGTGACCACATAGAAATCGATGAGTGATCTGCCTGAACAAATTTGTCAACCCTGCCACTTATTTGCTAATAATCCCTCTAAAAAGAGCTCTCAAGGCTTTCAGCATAATGCAAAAGGGCTTGACGGCTACAGAGATGTCGCGTGGCTCCTTGACAGAACCACAATGACGTTTGATGCCCTCGATCCGTCCCGTTGCCTTGTCAGGGATAACATGCTCTCGCGTAAGGAGGAACAGCCAGACTCAATATTATCATACGTAAACACTAGTCTGGGACATGGATCAGAGATTAGGGATTAAAAAGAAAAAGAAACATCTCATATATTACACACCTTTCAGTCTCCATAGTTTATTTGGTATTCTTCAGGATCCTTGAATAAGGTTAGGCAGTTCAGATGAAAAAGCTGTGAGGATCATTATGTCATAAGTGACATGTCAATGGGCAGTGTATAATGACGGGCGCGCAGTACGGGGATAGCTACGGATCTCCTCATGTCTCCAACATTAGTATATATGAGCATGGTGTGAAGGAGCCAGGACATCTATGTTGCCCATTAGTGTCATCGATGAAGACTTAACGTTTCGTAGAAGGTTCAGTCTGAAAATATATTGACAGGGGGTAATACGTCTCCTGATGTAGACGGGTAACAGAAAGTAAGTCGCAATGTTAAACGGTAAACTGATTCCTTATAGAAAATGTGAGTTAGTGAACCTGGTTAAGTCTCCTCATATCCTAGACGCCAATGACATCTATCATATCGCCCTTCATCATCAATCTCTGAACACACTTGTGACATTTGCCTTTGTTTGTGAAAGACAGCTGATCAGATGAAGGTGTGTATCGAGATTAACATTCGGGAATCATTGCGGCGTTCTCATATCTAACAAATGCCTTTGATAAGAACTGAGGCGGGTTGTGGCGCCCACAAGCAGCAATGCTGCCTTGGTAGAAGTCATAGAGTGATGAAGCGACTCAGGGAAAGGCACTGTATATAAGAAGACATTGAAGGTGACGAGTTTTTTTCTTGGAATATGGAAAAGGAAACATTCCGTTTCCAGACCAACAAACAATTTACGAGTGTTTACGTGTATGCTTTAACATGCGTATATTCCTTGATACTATGGTAACCTGAATATAATTTGACTCACTTTCAGAACAAAACATAGAAGTGAAAACAGGTCCTGACATGGGTGTTTAACGTGGAAGCAGATTGTGTTCAAATGTTTTCTGGGCATGTCGGGTGAACTCAAGTCTGACTGCCAAACCTTTCATAGAAATTGTATTGTGATTCTCGAAACTTTTTAGGGCACTTATCCATTCAATGTCACCGACATGTTAGCGTGCATACATTTCACAACAACGTCTTGTTTTAGAGTGTAACTAGATGTGTGGAGTTAAATGATGCTGGCAATAGTCAGGCATGATGTAACAAATATATAAATACTTGATTCTTTTAATTAGTCCATTTTGCTTAAATGTCTTTGAGACATTATTTCACATAGATGTTATATTTGAGGAAGTCCTTCATTTCACATGTTTTTTTCAGTAAACTTCAGATGTCATTTGCTTTCATTTTTGACAAGTTGTCCTGAACCTTTGACGACGGAGCTGTAAATAGATCTATGGTCATCGCGTGTAGTCATGCAGGGACATAGTTTCATAGGTTTCAGTTTTAGCAAACTTTCAAAACAGTTCAGACTGTTATGACTCAAAATAAATAATCTCTTCCTTTAATGTCAATATGGATCGAATGTCAAATAGCTAATTTCCTCGTCAAAGGACATATCCATGTAAATTCAATATTTTTTTTAAATTTGGACAGGCGCTTCCGAAACTACAGATGATCCACTTTGTATAAAGAGTTATTACCCCTTTGATTGGTATAAACAGATCCCGGTGTCTTCCCATCACATATATTTTATATGTTAATTTTGCAGCTATCATTTGTAATTTCAAATAGGAGTTAGGTTATGTATGTTTCCGTCTTTGACATCGCCTTGCCACAGTCCTAACGGCCCTTGGATGACACGGTGAGGAGAAGGAAGACGTAGATATGCATAGTTTTTACGCAGGAAACACGTGATCAGTACTGCAAATTGTGTATAGGGATCCATAATTAAACAATTTTTTAGTCTATTTGCAGACCTGTCATTGAAAAGAGAACCGATTGATCGGGCATTCTCAGCAGCGTGTCTGCAGTAGCATCCTCGACCTAATCAGTGTCTTAGCCTGGCCGTTTCTTCACACAGGTACTTATCTCGCTCTTTCCCCAGATAGTCGGGGGATTATATATCTTGGTGGAACTACTCAACATTGGATTGCATATCTATTTCGGCAGCAAAAGAAAGTACAAATGTGTATACAGTTTTGGAGGTATACTTAATTTAAAAAGGGTTTGCAAATATTTCTAGCACCTTTGATGTTGTTTGTGGCAATGTGGCTATGTTTCATGAAAATGTATGGTCACAAAAACTCTTGCGTAAACTTGATTTTTCTATGAAAATGAAGTAGCTCAGTCGTTTGAGGTGCCAGTATTTTGACGTGCAGAATTGCGGTAATTGGGAGCATCAGGATACCATGGCCGTGCTGACGATGATACCTGGCCTGTCAGCATCTTACATGTAGGAACTATTAACATCTAAGATCTGCGTCACCTTGTTCAAAGCGGAGGAAAAGCCAACTCACAGGGGTAGACACAGGTGACACACTGAGGAACACACATAGGGACAAACTGGGGCAGACACATTGACATACCGATGAACACACTATTGAACACACTATTGAACACAATGAGTCAGGGGACACACTGGGGAACACATTAGATCGCACACTGGAGCAGACACAGGGGTCACACTGTAGAACACACTGGGTCACACACTGGATGAGACACAGGGGCACACAGGGGACACACTGAGGCAGACACAGGGGACACACTGAGGCAGACACAGGGGACACACTCAGGATCACGCTAAAGAAAACACTGGGGCAGACACGGGACACACTGAGGAACACACTGGGTCACACACTGGAGGAGACACAGGGGACACACTCAGGATCACGCTAAGGAAAACACTGGGGCAGACACGGGACACACTGAGGAACACACTGGGTCACACACTGGAGGAGACACAGGGGACACACTCAGGATCACGCTAAGGAAAACACTGGGGCAGACACGGGACACACTGAGGAACACACTGGGTCACACACTGGAGGAGACACAGGGGACACACTCAGGATCACACTGAGGCAGACACCTGGGACACACTGAGGCAGACACCGGGGACACACTGAGGCAGACAAAGGGGACACACTGAGGCAGACACCTGGGACACACCGAGGCAGACAAAGGGGACACACCGAGGCAGACACCTGGGACACACTGAGGCAGACACAGGGGACACACCGAGGCAGAGAAAGGGGACACACTGAGGCAGACCAAGGGGACACACCGAGGCAGACACAGGGGACACACTGAGGCAGACACCTGGGACACACTGAGGCAGACACCGGGGACACACTGAGGCAGACACCGGGGACACACTGAGGCAGACACCTGGGACACACTGAGGCAGACCAAGGGGACACACCGAGGCAGACAAAGGGGGCACACTGAGGCAGACACCTGGGACACACTGAGGCAGACACCGGGGACACACTGAGGCAGACAAAGGGGACACACTGAGGCAGACACCTGGGACACACCGAGGCAGACAAAGGGGACACACCGAGGCAGACACCTGGGACACACTGAGGCAGACACAGGGGACACACCGAGGCAGACACAGGGGACACACTGAGGCAGACACCTGGGACACACCGAGGCAGACAAAGGGGACACACTGAGGCAGACACCTGGGACACACTGAGGCAGACACCGGGGACACACTGAGGCAGACAAAGGGGACACACTGAGGCAGACACCTGGGACACACTGAGGCAGACCAAGGGGACACACCGAGGCAGACAAAGGGGGCACACTGAGGCAGACACCTGGGACACACTGAGGCAGACACCGGGGACACACTGAGGCAGACAAAGGGGACACACTGAGGCAGACACCTGGGACACACCGAGGCAGACAAAGGGAACACACCGAGGCAGACACCTGGGACACACTGAGGCAGACACCTGGGACACACTGAGGCAGACACCTGGGACACACTGAGGCAGACACCGGGGACACACTGAGGCAGACACAGGGGACACACTGGAGCAGACACAGGGGCACATTGAGGCAGACACAGGGTTCACACTGAGGAACACATTGGGAAACACACTGGTTCAGACACAGGGGACAAACTGAGGCAGACATAGGTGGCACATTCAGGAACACACTAGGTCACACACTGAAGCAGACAAAGGGGACACACTGAGGATCACGCTAAGGAAAACACTCGGGCAGACACAGGGGACACACTGAGGAACACACTGGAGCAGACAAAGAGGGCACATCGAGGAACACGGAAAGGAAAACACTGGTACAGACACAGGGGGACACTGAGGCAGACATAGGTGGCACACTGAGGAACACACTAGGTCACACACTGAAGCAGACACAGGGGACACACCGAGGAACACGCAAAGGAAACACAGGGACAGACACAGGGGACACACTGAGGAACACACTAGGTCACACACTGAAGCAGACACAGGGGACTCACTGAGGATCACGCTAAGGAAAACACTAGGGCAGACACAGGGGACACACTGAGGAACACACTGGAGCAGACACAGGGGGCACACCGAGGAACACGGAAAGGAAAACACTGGAGCAGACACAGGGGACACACTGGAGCAGACACAGGAGACACACTGAGGAAAACACAAGGGAACACACTGGGTAACAGACTTGTGGACACAGGGGTAATGCACCGATGAACAGACTTGGGGACACATAGGTAATGCACCGATGAACAGACTTGGGGACACATGGGTAATGCACCGATGAACAGACTTGTGGACACATGGGTAATGCACCGATGAAAAGACTTGTGGACACATGGGTAATGCACCGATGAACAGACTTGGGGACACATGGGTAATGCACCGATGAACAGACTTGTGGACACATGGGTAATGCACCGATGAAAAGACTTGTGGACACATGGGTAATGCACCGATGAACAGACTTGTGGACACATGGGTAATGCACCGATGAACAGACTTGGGGACACAGGGGTAATGCACCGATGAACAGACTTGGGGACACATGGGTAATGCACCGATGAACAGACTTGGGGACACAGGGGTAATGCACCGATGAACAGACTTGTGGACACAGGGGTAATGCACCGATGAACAGACTTGGGGACACATGGGTAATGCACCGATGAATAGACTTGGGGACACATGGGTAATGCACCGATGAACAGACTTGGGGACACATGGGTAATGCACCGATGAGCAGACTTGGGGACACATAGGTAATGCACCGATGAACAGACTTGGGGACACATGGGTAATGCACCGATGAACAGACTTGGGGACACATGGGTAATGCACCGATGAACAGACTTGGGGACACATGGGTAATGCACCGATGAACAGACTTGGGGACACATGGGTAATGCACCGATGAACAGACTTGTGGACACATGGGTAATGCACCGATGAATAGACTTGGGGACACAGGGGTAATGCACCGATGAACAGACTTGGGGACACATGGGTAATGCACCGATGAACAGACTTGGGGACACATGGGTAATGCACCGATGAACAGACTTGTGGACACATGGGTATTGCACCGATGAACAGACTTGTGGACACATGGGTAATGCACCGATGAACAGACTTGGGGACACAGGGGTAATGCACCGATGAACAGACTTGTGGACACATGGGTAATGCACCGATGAACAGACTTGTGGACACATGGGTAATGCACCGATGAACAGACTTGGGGACACATGGGTAACGCACCGATAAACAGACTTGTGGATACATGGGTAATGCACCGATGAACAGACTTGTGGACACATGGGTAATGCACCGATGAACAGACTTGTGGACACAGGGGTAATGCACCGATGAACAGACTTGGGGACACATGGGTAACGCACCGATAAACAGACTTGTGGATACATGGGTAATGCACCGATGAACAGACTTGGGGACACATGGGTAATGCACCGATGAACAGACTTGTGGACACAGGGGTAATGCACCGACGAACAGACTTTGGGACACAGGGGTAATGCACCGATGAACAGACTTGGGGACACATGGGTAATGCACCGATGAACAGACTTGGGGACACATGGGTAATGCACCGATGAACAGACTTGTGGACACATGGGTAATGCAACGATGAATAGACTTGGGGACACAGGGGTAATGCCCTGATGAACAGACTTTGGGACACATGGGTAATGCACCGATGAACAGACTTGTGGACACATGGGTAATGCACCGATGAACAGACTTGTGGACACAGGGGTAATGCACCGATGAACAGACTTGGGGACACAGGGGTAACGCACCGATAAACAGACTTGTGGACACATGGGTAATGCAACGATGAATAGACTTGGGGACACAGGGGTAATGCCCTGATGAACAGACTTTGGGACACATGGGTAATGCACCGATGAACAGACTTGGGGACACATGGGTAATGCACCGATGAACAGACTTGGGGACACAGGGGTAATGCACCGATGAACAGACTTGGGGACACATGGGTAATGCACCGATGAAAAGACTTGTGGACACATAGGTAATGCACCGATGAACAGACTTGTGGACACATGGGTAATGCACCGATGAACAGACTTGGGGACACAGGGGTAATGCACCGATGAACAGACTTGGGGACACATGGGTAATGCACCGATGAACAGACTTGGGGACACAGGGGTAATGCACCGATGAACAGACTTGTGGACACAGGGGTAATGCACCGATGAACAGACTTGGGGACACAGGGGTAATGCACCGATGAATAGACTTGGGGACACATGGGTAATGCACCGATGAACAGACTTGGGGACACATGGGTAATGCACCGATGAACAGACTTGGGGACACATGGGTAATGCACCGATGAACAGACTTGTGGACACATGGGTAATGCACCGATGAACAGACTTGGGGACACATGGGTAATGCACCGATGAACAGACTTGTGGACACATGGGTATTGCACCGATGAACAGACTTGTGGACACATGGGTAATGCACCGATGAACAGACTTGGGGACACAGGGGTAATGCACCGATGAACAGACTTGTGGACACATGGGTAATGCACCGATGAACAGACTTGTGGACACATGGGTAATGCACCGATGAACAGACTTGGGGACACATGGGTAACGCACCGATAAACAGACTTGTGGATACATGGGTAATGCACCGATGAACAGACTTGTGGACACATGGGTAATGCACCGATGAACAGACTTGTGGACACAGGGGTAATGCACCGATGAACAGACTTGGGGACACAGGGGTAATGCACCGATGAATAGACTTGGGGACACATGGGTAATGCACCGATGAACAGACTTGGGGACACATGGGTAATGCACCGATGAACAGACTTGTGGACACATGGGTAATGCAACGATGAATAGACTTGGGGACACAGGGGTAATGCCCTGATGAACAGACTTTGGGACACATGGGTAATGCACCGATGAACAGACTTGTGGACACATGGGTAATGCACCGATGAACAGACTTGTGGACACAGGGGTAATGCACCGATGAACAGACTTGGGGACACAGGGGTAACGCACCGATAAACAGACTTGTGGATACATGGGTAATGCACCGATGAACAGACTTGGGGACACATGGGTCATGCACCGATGAACAGACTTGTGGACACAGGGGTAATGCACCGATGAACAGACTTGGGGACACAGGGGTAATGCACCGATGAATAGACTTGGGGACACATGGGTAATGCACCGATGAACAGACTTGGGGACACAGGGGTAATGCACCGATGAACAGACTTGTGGACACATGGGTAATGCACCGATGAATAGACTTGGGGACACATGGGTAATGCACCGATGAACAGACTAGTGGACACATGGGTAATGCACCGATGAACAGACTTGTGGACACATGGGTAATGCACCGATGAACAGACTAGTGGACACATGGGTAATGCACCGATGAACAGACTAGTGGACACATGGGTAATGCACCGATGAACAGACTTGTGGACACATGGGTAATGCACCGATGAACAGACTAGTGGACACATGGGTAATGCACCGATGAACAGACTAGTGGACACATGGGTAATGCACCGATGAACAGACTAGTGGACACATGGGTAATGCACCGATGAACAGACTTGTGGACACATGGGTAATGCACCGATGAACAGACTTGTGGACACATGGGTAATGCACCGATGAACAGACTTGTGGACACATGGGTAATGCACCGATGAACAGACTTGTGGACACATGGTAAAACACCGATGAATAGACTTGTGGACACATGGTAATGCACCGATGAACAGACTTGAGGGGCTTTCATCCTCTTGTTCAGTTAGTTTGTTTGCAACTCTCTTTGGCGTATGGATTGCTTTTATTTGCTCATTTAAATCCCTTAGTCTCAGGCGTATCTTGACAAAGACAAAAATAATATGTATGTTCTGTATAATGGAGCAACGACGGCCCTATCGATGGCATTCTTCATTCCTTGATTAGCTAGTTCCAGATAAATATTGTCGGCTTTACAGCCTCATGCCTTATTTTGCCTACATACAGGGCTGACTATGTTTGTGAAGGAAAAGTGACTTGAAAAAGTACACAAGTATGACGTATTGAATGCAAAAAAAACAAAAAAACTAGCCAACGAACAGGTGACAAGATGAATGATCGATTATCACAATATAACTTCATCTTTATCTACATCTCCTTGGATCATAGGTGTGTACCAAGTTGAGACCCTTTGTACTGTCAGGATTCCTTTATCGTCAGTCCGTAAATAAGATCCTTGGTTTTTCACATTTTCTCGCGCGTCAGTGGCTTGCATCACGGTCGTTTATATTAAGAAACACATGGACGTGTAAATTAAGATGTTTAAGTCTATTTCAACTGACAACTGTGATACCGATTTCTATGGGTTTTTTCTCATTTCTATCGTAACTTGTCCTTCCTGCTATACATGTAGACAATGTGACTACAGTTTATCTGTTCACATGTACCCAACGCCTCATAGTTCTATAATAGGTGTTAAGTTGGAAATGTCAAACATATTTTTTAAACTCAGCTTTGAATTTAATTCCTGATCTTGGTTTCTCGGATAACGGAAACCACACCAAGAAACGCATCTGACTTCCTG